ACTGTATGTATTAATTCAACCTTAAGGGGCTGAGAACTAGCAGTATAAGAGTCTCAGATGAAAATATTTTGACTTTGCCTAAAATAATTTTAAGTTTGAAGCATCTAGTGGTAGAAAAAGTATAAAAAGTAGAAGGTGAGATACTTCTGCACTAGGCAACAAAGAAGGTAGGACACTTGAATGACTTGAAGGCATTTTTTAACTGGTTAAAAAACAGTAACATGAAGGACATACAAAAATTTATAAAGATAATGAATATTAATAACAAGACAATGTTTAAAACACCAATCCCAATCCCTAGAATTCTAGTTCCCAGAATATTTTTTACCTCAAATATAATACTATAACCAATAAAATTTCTAGCTACTGATTATTTCATACAGAAATAACTTACTAAATATCACTATGCCCCCAAATCCTTTTGAAGTCCTGAGAACCTGAGTTTACCATAATTTGGTAGTAGATAATGATGTGCAAATTCAGAAAGTCAGAAGTGCCAAAAGTTTGTCATTAAAGGAATCATAACTAACTGTATTTATAAACTAACCTTAACTTAATTTTAGCTGATCTGAAAGCTCTTGTGCTGCAGTGCCAAAAAATGTCACAGCCATATCTGCAGATGGCATTTATAGCCAAAAGAATCAATGTTTAAAATAAAGTATACCATCAAATCTTAAAAAATTGTATAGACGGGCAGTTTTTGTGAAAACATGTCAAATATCCTTAGCAACATTTTAGGAGGAAAGATGTTTTTAAATTCACATAAAGGGTTACAAAGAGGTACCTAGTCTGTGTTGAATTCTAGACTGATTTTGAGACTGTTACTCCAGGGCATAATTGCTACTGGCTTCCTACAAAACTCAGGACATTCATTCTTATTCCTACACCCTTAATATCGTGCTTCCAATTTGGAACATATCACTCATTTCAGAGTAATGATTTCCATATACAGTTTTCAAACAGAATGTAAGATTTATTTGCTCTACGATGGCTCCTCCTCAACTTTTGTTATAATTTATAAAATCACCATATGACCTTAAATAATCTACCAATACCTTTAAGTTATTTAATGTTAACTGCTGCCTGATGCAGACAACACTGCTAACCCACGCGAGACATTGATTTGTACTTGTTTCTCCATCGGAGTGATGGATTTGCGCTCAGCTATTCCGGCGTCTACTAGGTCCCCCTGGTGACCAAACCGTACAGTTAGGCACCAGTAGGTAGGGTTCCAAGGCACAAACTGGCAGTGGAACAGAGAGGGTGGAAGGGGAAATCATGAAAAATTAACACGCCAACAGTACACACGACATGACTGAGAATTACGTTGGCATCGCTAGGGTATTCGAGATCCGCACACCAGCCACCATCCCCTTCCCTTTTAAATGGCAAACACCCATCCGCCTCCTTCGGGCTTCCGATCCCCACCTTCCATTTAAACCTCGGGTGTGACAGAAAGCCCAAACCAAGGGGCTCAGCACGAGGCACTAGCCACTCTGAGGGGGTTTGGGGAAACACTGATGTGACAAACGGCCGAAATTTTCTATCTAAAATATGGAGGAATGACACAACACCTTTCCTATCACTGATTGAAGACCCAAGACAGAGTCAAGAATTGCCGACCCACAGGGGGCCCGGAGCTGGGAGGACGGAAAGCACCCAGAATACCAGGGAGAGGACTGCGGCGCGTTCCGAGCTCCCACTGGAGGGGCGAAAAGCTGCGGGCAGCGCCGGGAGCGCGGGGTCGCAGCCGGGTCACGTCTTGGGGTGCCAGGGGCTCGAGAGCGAGAGCGGGCGGGACGACCGGGGCCCCAGAGCCGGGCCGTCCGAGGCGCGGGAGGCGCGGGGGCCGCGGTGGGGGTGCGCGGGCAGCGCCGCCGAGGGGGCTGCGGCGCCGGGGCAGCCGCGGAGGGCGCGCCGCCAGGTGCCGGACGGCAGGGGGCAGCGGGGTTCTGGCAGGCGCCGACCCGGGGAGGGAGGAGAGCGGCGCGGGAGGGCGCGCGGCCGGGTGCGTCCGCAGCGGGTTGCGGGGCCGCCGCCGGCCTACCTGGAGATAATAGGGTTTCCTTAGCCAGGCCCCCGGACAGAGACTCCTCGCCATGGCAATCACACATCGCCCCGCTGCGCCGCAGTCAGAGGCGGACCCGAGCGCCGGCCGCCCGGCTCCCCGCCTCACCCCGCCTCCCCGCCCCCTGCCCGGCCGGGCCCGCCCACTCCCCGCCCCCGCCGCGGCGCGCTCTGCGCTTCCCCCGGCCCAGCTGCAGTGACGGCGGACGGCGGCGCGAGGCCCGGCCTCCTCCGCTGCTCGCCCGGCCGCCGCGGCTGTCAGAGCGGGTGCCGCCGACTGTGCCATAAAAGGGGAGTCGCGCCTCGCCTCCGCCGACACAAATCCAACTGCGCCTCGCGCTTAAAGGGGAGGCGCGCGGAGGAGGGCGGAGGCGCCGCGGAAGCAGGGGTGTCGCCCCCTCGGCGCGGACAGGAGCGTGCGTCGCGGCGGCCGGAGCACCGACCCCTGGGACCGCACGGATCTGGCCGCCCGCTCTGCCTACCGGCTACCCGCGCTGCGTCTGGCGCGCGTCCCACCCGTCGGCCCTGGCTGGACTGACGCTCCCTCTGGACTCTTGCTCCTCGGGTCACGACGTGTTTGGGCGGGTTGTATCGAAATTCAAGGGAAGCCTGGGACTCCAACCCTGGGGACGGGCTCGTTCTTTCTCGCTCACGGTGGCGGGTGGTGTGGGGATGAGGAGGCGGCTACCGCAGCCGGAGACGGGGACCTGCGGGTCCCGCGAGCCCTGGGTTCTGCGGCGAGGCAGAGAGGACTCTGCTGAAGGCAGTGTGGCCCCTGCCCCCGATCCAGTTCGCCTCAACGGACTTCAACTTAGTTAAATGTACTTTTAAAAAATTCTGAGTTTTTATTTTTATATTGTTTTTAAGACAGCTTTGGCATTTTCCTGGCCCCACCCAGAAACCCTGAGTCAAAGTAAAAAAATTAATGAATTAAATACAAACTTGAAGGCAGGGAACCCGGAACGTGGCATAGCTACTCAGTTAAAGCCACATAACACAGGGTGTGGTGTCTTTCTTTTGACAGTGAGGTCCAAATAAGGGAAAAAGAGCCACCCTAGTAGGAGAACAGCTGTTGATTCGAGAGACTTGTAATGGAAGAAGGTGCATTTTTTTCTTTGTACAGCACATACCACGTTTTCATGTGATGCCCACAAAGTTTAGGTGGCTATTTAGAACTCATTTGGGCCTGTTACTCTGAGGTTTCCCCAGAAGCAAACCTGTCCTTACTCTCACCATGGTGTTTACATAATCCTTTTTCTGCTGCTTTGTTTCTAAAGAGATAACTTTCTGCCTGCCCTTTCCCCTAACCAACACACAGACACAGGTTTTAACCTCAAACCTCAGTGGGGTTTTTTTGCTCTCTGTTTTTGAGTCTTACTATATTTCCTAGGTTCAAACACCCGGACTCAAGTGATCCTCTCTATCTTCTCCAGTAGCTGGTAAAACAGGCACAGGTGACTGAGCCTGGCTACTTGGTGGAATTTTACTGCTTGTGCAGATAAACTCAGATTAAGTGATTTTCAGTTTGAGTTAAAGAGACTTTAGTAATTTCTTCGTAACCTGAGAATGGATTCTCCTGGTTTCGTTCATTCAATGAATCTTGAGTACCCAGGCACTATTCAAGTTGTCTGGGATATATATATGTGAACAAAACAACCAAAAATCCTTGCTCTTGGGGGATAGTATGGGGGAGACAGGCAATGAATAAATGTGATCAATAAGAACATCTTATCAATAAGAAAGCTGATAAAGGTTATAGGGGAGAGCAAAGTAGATGGAGAAAGCTGTAAGTAGAGAGAAAAGGTTTGAGGGAAAAGACCAGTTTGGGACATGTTACATTTGTTGTATCTGTTAGAAATTGAAGTAGAGTGGGGTTTTTATTCTTTCTTTCTCTCTTTCTTTCTTTCTTTCTTTTTTTTTGACAATCTCACCGTGTTGCCCAGGCTAGAGTGTTGTGGCACCAGTCTCACTCAACAGCAACCTCAAACTCTTGGGTTCAAGTGATCTTCCTTGCCTCAGCCTCACAAGTAGCTGGGACTGCAGGTGCTACTGCCTCAACACCCAGCTAATTTTTCTATTTTTAGTAGAAACAGGGTCTCACTCTTGGATAGGCTGATCTGGAGCTCCTGAGCTCAAGGGATCCTCCCTCCTCGGCCTCCCAAGAGTGCTAGGATTACAGGCGTGAAGTGGAGATTTTGATTAGGCAGTTGTATATATGAGTGTGGGTTTAAAGAGAATGGTCCAAGCTAGAAATATAAAAGAGATGTCAGCATTTAGATGATATTTAAAGCCATGACACTGAATGAGATCACCAAGGAAATGAGAGAAAAAGGAAGAGAACCAAGGATGGAGCCCTGGAGATAATAAAACTTTAATTGAGGAGAAGTGGATAAGCCAGGCAAGGAGACTGAAAAGGGGCATCCATGAAGTAGTGAGGTATCCTAAATTCACTACCAATGAGCGCACAGGTTACTAATGGCAACCCTGGGCAGACCTGTTTTGTGTGGCTGGTCTAACCTTTACAGAGTGAGACACTTTACATAAATACCCAGATTTCTGGTTGTTTTGACAATTACGTCAGCTGACAAAACTTTGTTTTGTTTTGTTTGGGTTTTTTGAGACAGGGTCTTAGTTACCCTCAGTTGAGTGCTCTGAAGTCATAAATCACAGCAACCTCAAACTCCTGGGCTTAAGCCATTCTCTTGCCTCAGCCTCCCAAGTAGCTGGGACAACAGGTGCCTGCCACAACGCTGGGCTACAGCTGACCAAACTCCTATTCACAGACCATCAGTGGGCTGGCATGACCCCCTCACGTGGAGTGTGTTCTGCAGCTTGCCACAGTCCCTGTTTACTGCTCACAGCAACTTAAACTCTTGGGCTCAAGCAGTCCTCTTGAGCAAAACTTTCCTTCCCTAGTTTGACTGCTCTATTTCCCCAGCATGTATTTATCTTTCCTATCTAGCCCCGGTAGGCATTTGACTTTGTGACCAGTTAAAATCATAGCATGTGATTTAGAAAATAGACTCAAACCAGAGCTGCTTTGGAGCTGTAGAATGAGAAGCAAGAAACGGACAGGGGAAGAGAATAGACTGTGATTAGGCTCTGGATCAATGATTTCCCTAAAGAGAACTCATGTTTTACCTGAAATTCTCCAGAATGAATTCTTTCTGTAGCCTATGTTCACCTTCTTACGCCACGAGATGGTGCAGGGTAAGGATGAGGCAAGGTGGAGACTGAATTCACACCCCAGGAAAAATGAAATCTATTGATTGAGTCATGAGAACAGACCGAAATGAGAGACAGGGCTCTTTATATATATAGATATATAATCTACAAGAAAGGCATGTTGTACATTAAAATAAAAAAATCCAGTGGTTCTTTAATATTCCACTAATACCACAACCAAATATTAATCTATTGCGTCCAAAATGTTATAAAATGCTCTTCAGAGAATGGAACACAAGAAATTTATCCTAAAGAAGGCCAAATGTTTTGTGTATCTCCTTTTTTTCATTGCTGTTAGAGACAAGGTCTCTCTTTCCCCCTCAGGGTCAAGTGGAGCGGCATGATCCTAGCTCACTGCAGCATTGAACTCCTGGGCTCAAGCCATCCTCCTGCCTCAACCTCCCAAAGTGCTAGGGTTATAGGTCTGAGCCACTGTGCCTAGCCTTATATCTTCTTTTAATGTGAATGCAATGTCAAAAAAAGGAATGGCCAGATGAGTCATACTTGTAATCCTAGCACTCTGGGAGGCCAAATCAGGTGGATTGCCTGAGTTCAGGAGTTTGAGACCAGCCTAAGCAAGAATTAGACCACATCTCTAAAAATAGCTGGGTGTTGTGGTGGGCCCCTGTAGTCCCAGCTACTTAGGAGGCTGAAGCAAGAAGATCGCTTGAGCCCAAGAGTTTAAGTTGCTGTGAGCTATGACTTTACAGCACTCTACTAAGGGTGACAAGTGAAGACTGTCTTTGAAAAAAAAAAAAGATTGTTCCAATTTAGGAGTTTGAAGTTGCTATAAGCTATGATGTCACAGCACTCTATCCAGAGTGACAGAGTAAAACTCTGTCTCAAAAAAAGAATGATTAGAATTTGAAGATGGCCGGGCATAGTGGCTCACTCGTAGCACTCTGGGAGGTCGAGGTGAGTGAATTGCCTGAGCTCAGGAGTTCAAAACCAGCCTGAGCAAGATCGGGACCTCATCTCTAAAAATAGCCCAGCATTTTGCTGGGTGCCTATAGTCCTAGCTACTCTGTAGGCTGAGGTAAGAGAATCACTTGAGCCCTAGAGTTTGAGGTTGCTATGAGCTGTGACACCATGGTATTCTACCAAGGGCAACAAAATGAAAGTGTGTCAAAAGAAAAAAAAATTGAAAGTAAAATTCCAATTCATTGTTATGTCCCTAAAACCTGGCATGGTACTTGGCATATAGAAGATAATCCATAAATATTTATTTAGAAGAATGAATGAATAAATGAGGCTGCCAGGAGGATAAGAAGCGTAAAAATAGATTTTAAAATGTTTTTTACTTGAAAGCAGCAATTCAAAATCTGAAACAGAATCACGAAAGACAATCTTTATTTTGCTCTTTATTCTTATTAGTACATTCCCTGAAAAAATGGTAGCTTTTTTTGGAATCATTCTTTAAGAAAATAAACAGCCAAAAAAAAAAAAAAGAAGAAGAAGAAAAGAAAAGAAACAGCCTATAATAATTTGATGCTAAGATTTCGTCTGACTTGAGGCATAGAGCTATAATCCTGGAAAATATGACATTCCTCCTAATGAAAATACTGTGCTAAAAGACTTGCATTGAGAATTCACAATGAAACCTGTCACATGGAAGTCATTGAAGGGATCACCTTAATATGGTGGGTTATAGTCTTCAGCGGGATAGGAACTTGTCCTCAGACCATCTGGTAATATTTTCAGCCTCTGGCAGTAGTATCAGGAATTTTGCATGTACAGTTAATGTCATGATATTAAAGCAGCATTTTACAATGTGGTTTTACCACTCTCTTTAATTTTATATATAAGAATATGCCTTGGGCTTGGCACCTGTGGCTTAGTGATTAGGGTGCCGGCCACATACACTAAGGCTGGCAGGTTCGAACCTGACCCGGGCCT